TTTCCATTTAAGTGTATTAAGATAATTCAACGGCTCTGTACGAGACAACGTGTAATATCCATAAGAAAAAAATTATTGGGAAGAACAAGTCCTACAATACAAAGCCACCAAAATAAATAAATTTATCAGCCGTACATCTGTACATTTTACATGGGAAAGCTAGTTCTGAGTCAAGAGTACTTTCGTATAGAAATTTGGTACGACCGATGATTTGTTCTTCTAGGCCTTATGAAACTTCCTCCGCTGTCTGCTTCTTCCCATCCGCGTCAGAGGTTAACTTGCCTACGTATAATAAATTAATAATGGAAGAAGAATCATATCCCAGTCCCATACAAGACCAAAGATAGGTAAAAGCATACCAATAATATTCTCTCCCAATGGCACAATTTAGTACTTCCCCTTTCCCTCCATCGGCAAATCCCCTGCCGATCAATGCTCCGATCAGCAGCCTCCATTTTTGTGCTTCTTACCCTGTTGATCTTTCCATCGTCCGAAGGTCAAGACTGTCAGAGACGGTGACTTTGTCGTCACCGATATCAACGGGAACATCATGTTCAAGGTGAAGGGATCTGCTTTTAGCCTTCACAGTAATCGGGTCTTGCTCGATGAGGCCGGAAATCCTATTGTCACACTATGACAAACGGTTACCAAATTCATTACATCTTACTCTAATAGTTGTTTTTTTTTTTTTTCTTAACTATGATCTTTTAACCAGCGTGCATTAAAATTAATTCTTTCTAAAAGATCGTAAAAGGATTATAGTTGTTTTTGTAATTGTAATATGTTAGAATATCCTTATATTTAGATAAATAAAATTTTTTGTTGTCCAAAAAAAAAAATCACTCCTTATAACAACAGTAGTTTTCAAGAGCATTTTTAAATTGGAAAGAAAATTAAAAGTTCTATTTTTAATATTGTATTGAACTAATTAATTTGACTTTGACATAGACGTTTCATATTTAATACTTTTTACAACATATTTATTAAATATTTATTATTTTTATTTTAAAATTAAAAATAAATAAATTTAAAAATATAATTATACAAACAATATAAATAAATTAACTGCAATTATATTATATTTTGATAGTTTTTGATAGTTGAATTAACTATGTATCTACATGTATGTCAATTTGGAGGATATTCAAAACATTTTCCTAATTAATTTCATTGTTTAGGGGCAATTAATGAGCGCACATGATAGATGGCAAGTTTTTAGAGGAGAAAGCACAAATTCGAGTGATTTGATATTTACAGGGAAACGATCTTCAATGTTTCAATCGAAGACGAAACTAGATGTTTTCCTCGCAAATAACACAGACGAGAAGGTTTGTGATTTCAAGGTCCAAGGAAGTTGGTCGGAGAGATCCTGCGTGGTTTACGCCGAAGGAGTCTTCCTCCATTGTTGCACAAGTAAGAACAATTTCTTGACCACCCTCTAACACTAACAATTGAAAATCCTGTGCGAGAAATGAAACTAATTTATTAAATTCATGTCTGCAGATGCACAAGAAGACTACTATTCAAAGCGTGTTGATCGGGAAAGACAACTTCATGGTTACTGTATATCCAAACGTTGATTATGGATACATTGTAGCTCTTATTGTCAGTCTAACTGCAATCAATGAGGCCGGCCAGCAAGCTACTATCACAGGCGCGGTTGCGGGCGCTTCTACGGTCCCTGCCTGTGAAATTTTCTTCTAATTAATTCTAGTTACGTTTTGGCAAGAGTGAGGGAAATTTAAATTTGTTGATGTTTAGAAATAAATAAAGGATTTAAAATGTGTGGCCGTGAAGCACTTATGATAGTATGGAGGATTATTTGATGTATACTTGAGCAACATTTTGGTAAATAAAGGATTTCTATACATAATGATTAATATATGGGGTTGGTGCTTGTCCGCCTTACCTCCAAAAAATTATTTGAAAAAAAGACAAATATCACCTTAATGCATACTTTAAAAATAAGGTAATTTAGTCTTTTTCAATAAAAGTTTATTGAAACAATGTAGTTTAAGATAATTTTCCTCCTAATCTTTAGGAGATAAGGCTGACAAGCACTTTTCCCTTAATATATAAGTGCATTCAATAAAGAAAATATACAGTTACTTAAGTACGTACAAAACTAAGAAAAATTTAATGAAAATTCATCGTTTCAAGAGTTCAACTAGAACCTTATTTTTTAGATCTTTAATCACTCAAATGAAGGTTTGTTCACATAAATAAAAGATTTGAAGCTAGGGCTTCATCCTTACTTTAAATCATAAATTAATTGACTGGAGGCCTCATTGACATAAATGAAAGATTTGGATACCCCAAATTCAAATAGATGTACTTTTGTTGGATATTTAGAGCCCGTTTGATGTAGTTGGAGCTTTTGATAGAAGTGCTATTAGAAAGAATTTGTTGTAGAAGTGCTGTTTTTGAGAAGCTGAGAGTGTTTGATAAATTTTTTTATAGAAGTACTTGTAGAGTTAAAAGTAGTTTAGTAAAATTTTTTATAAAA